TCTTTGGCGACGACCGCATAGAGGTCAAAATACGCGTTCTATTTTTAGGCGTTAAATATGGCTCTTCCATTTCGCCCCCTCCGGAATGTTCTACTTTCGCAGGTTTTTCGAAAAACGTCGAAAAAACACAAGAATTAGTAGAAATGTTCCTGTTTTGGGCGGATTATTGATAGAGAATAATGTCTTTATTACAAAAATGCTGAAAAACCGTGAGTTGTTGCCTTAGTTATTTTTTTATTGGCGAAAAACTGCGAACTCGGCAAATTTGGTTGCACAATTTTCCTTTATCATATACACCCAGCGACACCGGTGCCAGCTGACTGTGTACAAAACTGGTAGGAGGTAATACATTTGGGGCGAAAGTATTCAAAAATCAGTTTTTGGATGTTGCAATGGCAGTGGTGGGCCAGGATTTTTTCCAATTAGTGACGGCACGACCTACCTGTGAAGTATGAACAAATCCAGCGGAGCCACTGCTGGTGAAAAGTTACCCCAACTTTGGGGTCAAATTTCTCGGTAATGAAAACAGATATCAAAAATTCAAATAGTAACTTTGTGCCCACACTCAAGCTGAGTAGAATGAGCTATGTCTGAAGTGTTTTATCCTAAATTTGTAGGAGGAGATACATTTGGCGCGAAGCTATCCAAAAAAACCAGTTTTTTTGCTGTTGCTATGGCAATAGTGGGCCAAAAAAATTTTCCAGATTTTTCCTAATAACTAGGGTGAAGGTGTGACCTACCTGCCAAGTTTTAACGAAATCGGCCAAGCCAAAAAAATCACAAAAGAAATAATACGTGAAAACACTGAAAATGTACACACACAGACACACACACACACACAAAACGACAAAAGTGATTATAAGGGCAATCCTAGCGGAGCGGATCGCCAACAAAAGTGATTATAAGGGCAATCCTAGCGGAGCGGATCGCCAACAAAAGTGATTATAAGGGCAATCCTAGCGGAGCGGATCGCCAACAAAAGTGATTATAAGGGCAATCCTAGCGGAGCGGATCGCCAATATATTCATGTCTAATGACAGTGTCATGTGTTTTGTATGAAGGCGAGTGAGTAGTGCGAATGTACAACAAGCTGCACGAAAATGACAATCTGTTAATTGTTCATAGTTCATTTAACGTTGATGTTCACGAATAGAGCAATTGCAGAAACAACGATATAAGTACTAAATAATTATGGGTTTGTTAAAAAGAAAGAGCATCACACAAAAGTTACTACAAATTGGACATCTCAACTCACAGGGTCTACGATACAACTACACAACAATAATCCCCAATGGAGATAGAAAAACAAAGGAACTCATCAACATAGAAAAATGCATTAAAGAATACAACATATACTGTTGGCTGGACACTACCAGTGTTGGATTACTACTAACACCAAATAACTATTACGTATACCATAAACTGAGAAAAAAACATGATAAAGCATGGAAGAATTCTGGTGGTATTAAGCATGTACATCAGACAGACTATTAAACCCGGTGTCTCAATATTACAGAAATGAAGTGACTACACTGTATAGTGTAAATTCAACAAAGATATTTTTCATTTAAAACAAGATATCTACTTGTGCAATGTATACATACCACCATCTGGATCGTCTTATTATATAAAACATGACCCTTACACTGTAATGCAACAAGAAATAAGATGTTACAAACAAAGGGGACTGATAATATTGTAAGGTGACTTCAAAGCCAGAATCTCAGGGATGTTAGACCACATAGAAGATGGTCATGATGAAAACCATCTACCGTATAATTATATATGCGACATACAACCCAAACATACAAATAACATGGACAAAAGAAAAAACTTATTTGATGCGAAAAACTAATAAATATCTGTAAAGCAATTCAGTTACTCGTTTTAAATGGACGAATACCTGGAGACAACAGAGGCCTTTTAACCTGCTATGAATGGAATGGTACCAGTTCTGTTGACTATTATATAACAGACCATTCTTTGTACCAAATATAGTAAACTTTAAAGTACACTCACTTACCCCTGGACTCGATCACTGTCACATAACTACTATCATTGAACTCCCAACGTTTAAAGAAATTCACAACAACATTAATTCTTCCCTACCATCATTACCAGGATGCTATAAATGGTCAGTGGAAAACAAACATATCTATCAACTATTTCAACAAACAGAAGAAGGAAACAAACAATTCAGCGATGCGCAAAGTAACTCAATGAAAAAGAAATTAATTGGTTTAACAAAGGTAATGAAGAAACAACCATATAACCAACAAATTAGGATCCAATATCATACAAAGAAGGAATTATTCAAAAGGTATGTGAAACATCTGAGACAACAGAAATGGAACACCTTACAAGATAAAGTCAATGATATAAATGAAACATTTCCAATCAATTAGCAAAAACTCAACTGCATCGACCAGTAGAAAAGAGGACATAAATACAGAACTAAGAATCATTGAAGATGCTATGAATAGAAATGAATGGCTGAACAACCAAATTACAATACAAGAAATAAACGCTGTATTAAGAAAACTGAAGACGAGGAAAGCTAACGGCATTGATGGAATACCCTCAGAAATGTTCAAATATGGAAGCCCACTCTTAATACAAGCACTTCAAAAACTATATAAGCTTATGATCTCTAAAGAACACTACCCAGAATTATGGAATAGGAACATAATCACTCCAATACATAAAAAAGGCAATACATTAA